TCCTTTCTGTGTAGGGAAACCCAGTGGAGATTGGGGAGGTGTGATGGCTAATCCTGGGTGTCAACTTGACTGGATCTGGGATTAACTGAAATGATAGAGATCTTCTTGATTGGGTCATCTGAAGCTGGAAGACACACCCTAAATGTGGGTGTTACCTTCTGATGGCAGCCATATAAAAGGCCAGGGCAGAGGAGAGTGCTTGCTTTTTGCCGCTTGCCTTCTCTCTCGCTGGTGAGTTCATCTTGCTGCTGTAGACCGAAGACTAGCTGATCTTTTGGAATTTGTCAGACCTTCAGTGCCAGATTGGGACTACTGAGACATCCAGCCTTGTGGACTGAGCGACTATGGATTTTCAGCCTCTCCAGTGTGGTGCAGCCGTTGTTGGACTACTCGGACTCTATCCTGTGAGCTAAGCTGATAAATCTCTATACATATATATTCATCCTACCAGTTCTGTTTCTTTGGAGAACCCTGACTAATACAGGAGGTTTCATCCAGATTGAGAAGGAACAGTAGCGGGATTGGAGCTCAGCCGTGAGGGTCACTCTGGTCCCTTTGCACCACCTCAGCACCAGACCAAGAGCAGAAACCTGTGATGGATAAGCATGTGGACACTCCTGGGCATGAATTCGTCATCTTTTAAGAGCTATTGAACTCTTCTGAGAATTCAAATCCACACCTGCCTCAGTCAAATGATCAGCACACCAAAAGTCATAAGATCTCAGGAAGACTAACACCTCAGGGCCACTGCAGATTGAACCTCTGTGTGTGTGTGTGTGTGTGTGTGTGTGTGTGTGTGTGTGGTATGTGTGCATATATGTGTGCGTGTGTGTAGAGTCCAGAAGTGAAAGACAGGAATCTTCCTCTACTGATCTCACCTTATTTTTTGAGATAAGGCCTCTCACTAAACCTGCTAGAGTTCACCAATTTAGCTAGGCTATCTGGCTAGGAAGCTCCAGGGATCTACCTGACTCCATCTTCTCAGTGCTGGAGTTACAGGGACCAGCTGCCATTCCTGGCTTTTGACCTGTGCTCTGATGATCTAAACGCAGGTCCTCATGCTTACATAGCAAGTACTTTACCAATAGAGTCAGCTCCTGACCCCCCCACCATGAACTCCAGTTTTGAACTTGGGTCTTATCATCAAGCCATCTTATCCTTGGCTCCAGTTACAGACTTACATCTGACACTAAAACAGGAAGCTCAGGCCCTTTGCATTACTTGCTTAGAGATTTTGTACATTTAAAAGTAAATATTCCAAATGATACATAAATCCCATATGGAGTCCTCGAAAAGAAAATAAAAGCCAGATATATAATCTTTGCATTATAGATCAGTTATAGATTTTACAAATCTCTATAATCTAGTTCTTGAAGTTTTTTGAATAATGACATTTTCACATTTGAATTTCATAACTCTCCAAAAGGACAAACAATTCCAAGGGGAATTTTTTTATCCCCATCCATGTGGAATCATAGAACAGCCTAGAGCTTGACTGACTTGCTTTCATCTCAGGTCCCTATGTGGGGAACCTACTTTGCTTAGCACATGCAAAGTACTTGGCACACATGATTTCATTTTCCCCCTCCACCCCAACCCTCCGCAGCAACCCAGTGCTAGCCCCCCCCCATTTTACAGATGAGAAAACGGAGGTTTGGAGAGGTTCTATGAGCTATCCAAGGTTAAACACAGGAAATGGCAAAGCAAGAGTACAATTTAAGGTTCCAGGGACAACACACAGGATACAACTGGATTAACTCACAGTGAAAGATGAAAACCACGAGAGCAATTCCTTAAGAACACCTAGTGTTACTTGGTCTGCCTCTCCTTCCCAGTGTTCAGGACCTGGCTTGTGGCTGTTAAGACCCCTACCATCTGCTCCCCCTCCCCCACCCCGCCCCCTTAGAGATCCATGAAACTGAGGTCAAGTCTAGTTTGTTTGAGTCATGATTGTCTGGTGCTATTTTTAGTGAGATCTTCAAGGAGGTCCCTGAGTAAGAGTCAGGGAGACATCAGAGGTCTCAGATAAAGGATGAACCCAAAATTTGTTTCCATGGCAACAGCTGCTTGGTTCGGCCTTTGACTTCACAGGTGAGCATGAGGGAGAAGGAGGACTCAGAATATCCCTGCCTGGGGCCAATGGGAAGATGTTAGAGAGGCAGGAGAGTGGTCTTGCATGGTGGGCATCTCTCCGAAGGTTCTGGCCTTCCCAGAAAATCAAGGGTTCCTGAGATGCCCCACCATGGTGGATCCAGCAAATAGTGAGGCTGTATTGTCCAGTCAGTGCCAGGCTGTGAGTAGGCACAGTCTGTAGTGTTTCATACACTGCCTGTCTGAACCATTAGTGGGTCTATCACTTTGGGGGCTGCAGCCAACATATTTTATTAATAAGATAGAAAAGAAGAAAAAAGTGAAAACCAAGACTACATTGTGCACAGTTTTTTCCAAGGAAAACATAAAGTGTGTGTGTGTGTGTGTGTGTGTGTGTGTGTGTGTGTGTGTACGTGCTGGTCTGTGACAGAAAATGCATTCTTTGGAAATATAAAAGTGTTTGAAAAATAAGCAGTTGGAGAAGAATGTTTGAAGGAAATTTATCTGGTCAATTTCCTGATTGTAGAAATGTTAAAATCAAATGGTCGCTTGTATCCTTTAGCTTTCATTATTCATCAAAAAACATTTATTCCAAGTGCCTTCCCCGTGGTCTGAACTAGGACAGTGCATGACAGGTCACACCCATCCTCACCCACCCTCCAGGTGGAGGGGTGGGCAAGGGGGAGGGGGCAAACCTTAGTTTACTAAGGAGCTGGGTGAGGAGTCAACTTGAGCTGCTGGGTTTGCATTCTGTCTCCTCTCTGCCAGTTGGTTTAGGTCACTGGACTTATATTGATAATCCTTATGGTACCAAGGTTCTTTGGTGGGTGCCAGTGTTGTTATTCTCATTTTTTAAACATATGTTTAGTAGGAGGGGGGGAATGGGGGATGTGCATGTCACCACATGTATGTAAAGGTGAGAGGACACCTTGTGGTAGTTGGTTCTCTCCTTCCACTATATGGATTCTGGGAATTGAACTCAGATCATCAGGTTTGCAAGCACCTTTACCTTCTGAGCCATCTTGCTGACCCATGATATCTCTTTAATATGTTTATAAATGACTTAAACATGCTTTCTGCTTCCTTTGCAGTCCCCAGTTGTCAGGCAGGAACTCAGGAAGTGCCTCCTAAGTACTGATCACTACTCACTCTTCAGGTGCTCATGACACAGCCCTTCATTCCTGACCTCCTACACTAAGCACTTACTATATGCAACTATGTATGTAAAAGTCATACTTAGACTGTGCAGTCAAGAGGCGCAGAAGTGATGTACATCTGTCCATCTCTGTCTCCTCAGCCCCTAACAGAGCACAGTACCTGTCTTGTTCATTGTAGTAATTGGTACTTGGTACTTGTTGTCTGTTAGTTTCGCCCACAATAATGGTAACAAACAGCCTCACTCTCTCAGTACCAAATATGCCCTTGGTTGGTTTTTTTTTTTTTTTTTTTTTTTTTTTTTTTGGGATCTCCCTGTAGCCCCAGCTGGCCTGGAACTCACTATGTAGACCAGACTG